CCAGAGTGTGTATGTCGAACATGGTTTCCTGCGGGTTTTGGACAGGATAATTCTGAAGCTGAAGCCACATAAAATACTGTTTTTGACCGTCCGAAGTTTAACTTAACGCACCTTGGTTCATGGTCATTGAATATTCCGGTTGTCTAGTCTGACCGTTTGTTACCGACTATGTCGCTTACGGCTTGTGCGTTTGCGGATGTCAGTTCGTCAGTCTCTTGACAAATAACTGTTTTGGCACTGATCGATCGATAACATCCCACCAATATTCATTTGCATTAACGAGCTTTGGAAACTTAAAGTTTGATGCCTGGCGTGCCGTAAGTGAGAGTCTCTCCTCCGCTTCCGTGTAAAATTATAATATCGCATAGATAGGGGCGTTTCTTCAACCACCACTGCATTAGTTATCACTTTCCAGGTATTACCAAATAACATTTCCCCACGCAGCTGGTTTAATTCAACATATATATGGTGAGCAAAGCTTTGACCAGGTAAATAACATCTGCCGGTCTTTCTAAGTGCAAAAGTTTCACTGTTATATTGGGCTGTTTGTTTAGGCAACGAGCAGTTACTGACATGCCAATGGTAGGGGTTCTAAAGTAACAAGTACTACACAGCTGCACCTTAGAATGTGTGCAAAACTGCTGATTCATAAGACTAATAAGTCACACTCAAAGAGGATTTCATGAACTACCAACAGTACTAGCCAGTATGCGGCTTGACAGTTGTGATGTTCACATGGTGACACTGATTTGCTCCACCAAAAAACATTCCGTCCACTAGGGCAGGTTGGGCATGGATACGATTATAGATAGGCGAATTTCGAAACATCTTACATTCTCTTCAAGTAGATTGGTTGCCCCGTCGCGCCTACACCTGACGTAGAGGATGGTACGTACAACGGTTATCGGGGGAGGTCATGAAATTCAAGTTTTAGTGACTGATTGCTGACTCTATTGTGGAAACAGTGGTTTGCTGTCCGACACGAATATCCGTTTTGCAGAATGTCTGGCTATGTAGCTGTCACGCGAAAAAATGGCATAGTGTTGGATGTGCTATTTAAGTGAGCAATAAACGAATGATGATTTTAAAATGTGTGAGAAGTGGTTTGTGAGTAGTTTGTCCTCTGGTAGTGCTCTCCACCTTGAATGATTATTTCGCTGTGACCCTTATTAGCCTTTGTTAGAGGCCCCGAAACAGGTAGCTGTCGACCGATTTCATGGCACCTGCACCGTAAGACTCTATCCCGATTACCTGAGCAAGTTTTTGATGTTTAACACAATGACCTACCACTGTTAATAATGATATTGTTTTTGATGTTTAACACAATGACCTACCATTGTTAATAATGATATTGTTCCTTGCAATGGTGATAACAGCGATGATAATGAAAGTCGATAGTGAGCATTCTGACGTGGTTTTTCAAAAATGAACATGCAAATGTGGCTGGAGCTTCGGAGGTATCCCTGTGTAATTTTGGCCAGGAAATAATATCCATGGTGAATGAAAACAATAATTTTCAGCCGTCACCAAATAAAGTAAGTGACTAGTCATTCAAATACACCTGATCGTATTCAATCGTATTGGACCCCCAAGAAATCCTTCTGCTTGCCACAACAAAGGAAAACGCCTGAGATTTCGTAATTAAACTGGACCACCACTGTCTCCGAAAGGAGTAAATGTGGTAGACCTTCAATGGTACAACTTCAGCAAATAGAAAGAATACAAATGTCACTGAAAACGCTTCAGTTTTGCACCCACGGACAGTTCGACTGGATTCACAGCGCCTATTTTTGGTACACTTCCAGTAAGCATTCGCACGACACTGATGGGCATAGGGACAACGTGAGCGCATGAATCAATAGTCTCTTATTAAACCCCAAGGCCTTAACAATACGGTCCACTAACACAGAAACAAAATTTTGGACGTCTGTGGCTTAGGCCTTGCGATTTCCGTTGCCCATTTTCTTCCAGTAAATGGTGTCTTCAGTACTTCCTGCCGGAAAATGCTACATATGTGGAAACCCATAAACGTACGAAATTCCGCCACGATTGTGGAGTAATCAGCATATAACTTGGATGTACGATGATAGACTGAGTTATTTTTCAACTTTTTTTTCAAAGTTCTCAAGGTGGCATGTAACGTAGCAAGAGAAACCCCACGGTTATCTCCGGGATAAAATTCAGCAAATGGCTCGTGTAAGGTTCATCAGAAGCGTATATCACCTTCAAAAGTGTTGCATTAATTATTCAAATGCAGATATTACAGCGCAGTGTTGTGATATTTGTATCATCTTTACTATTGTCGTCGTACACGGCACTTGAGGCATTATCTGGTATCTTTTAGGAACAGTTTTCCTAACTTTATCGGGTCGAGACACTTTACAGTGGTAACCAATTAGTTGAAGACTCACACGGTTTCGGCCGGTTTATAACTCTGCTACTCCGTCACTCACAGATGTACGTGTCTGTTGTTGTTTTAGTTTTCTATGTAATCGATAAAAGTATGAACATTAGAATCTGTCGATTTTTTCTCTCGTCCGTTTGCGCATATTTAGCGCTTGTGTAATCCAGATTAGCTTGGTTACTGTAAATACGCAAATCAATTCATCATACGTGTCCTAGTTAGCGTTGCTTAACGGATTTGATCCATGTCTCTACCTGAACAGATAGAAGGATAACAGTTGAGTGCGGACAGTAGCTAAAGGATCGCCCGAATTCAAGTACTGTCCCCATTTTGAGAGCAACGGCTTTTGACGGTGAAACTGTACAACTCAAGCCAAATTCAAATAACTGCATTGTTCATTTGTTGCAATACTTGCAGTGATTTAAACACCCGGGTACATTTACTGGCCGTCTGTTGGTGGAGGATTGTTGAACCGCCCATGAGTGTGTTGAACATAGGGTTTACCCGCTACAGATAAAATTCATTTAGCTAAAATACGATTGCTACGGAAATTCGAATCGGGTATTCAGTTTAAGAGCATAGCTCAGCGCCACATTATTTGGGACATTTCGACACGATTAGAGAAAAGAAAATGATAACTTTGTCGCGGAAAGAAATGTGTATACCCGATGCATAAAACATATACCGTGTTACTTTACTTTTACTGATTATCATCCCCAGGTTGCCTTAGATACAATCCCTCTCAGATGCACATTCCCGAGTCTCCTCACACTACCAACAGTCTATAAGTAGCTTAGTGGAATATTAAACTTCACCCGATGAGTGAAACTTTCATCTGAGAAGTCATTAATTGAGGAGCCAAATACGCGCCAAATACCCAATCCAACGGTTCTGGTTCCGCAAGATTCACTGGTGCTTGCTGGTGCTCTTTTTTAATAGATAGTTAATTTCCTCAATAAACTGCACCGATAGCACTAAAGCTTACTCGCATTATCCTCACTTAAAGTTGCTTAAATCCTTATTTGTATTATCTGTTTTAACAGAATGGTCATGGATTTTGTCAGGAGAAAATATAGGATAAAACTAGAAAGAAAGTGTCTAGAGACAACCTGACACTATTTATCCTATAGAGATTTCATCCAGCAAGTGAAGTCAGTCCATATCAAATAGCCGAAGAGTAATGTACAGATGTTTCACGCATATTAGGAATCTGTAATGCCTAAATCATGAACCTTCGAAGAGTTTCAAATTCACGAGCTCCATGCTGGTAGTTTGAATGCCCAATCGTTTGACCACAAGCAGCTCAGCGGCAACGTGAATAACTCGCACTTAGCTGGTATATAGCGCCATTTATTCTCAAATCACGGAATTCCCATTACCTGATCAAGACTTGTTTTGTTCCCCGAGCATCTACTGAGACGGAAGGGTCACAGAACACGTGCGCTGATCCACTCAGTCAGTTTGGGACAGTGGAAAGGAGTTTTAGGTGAAATCAAATACGCTAACGGATAGCAGCAGGTAAGAACTTACAATATCCAGTTCACCTGATGAAGTGGAAAGCTTTGGCACAATTAAGACCAGCACCAATAAACACATTTGCTAGAAACTACACAGGAAGGGGCAATAAGGAAGAAGAGCATCATTATGACAGATTAGGTATGAATATGGAAACGAATTTCACGCAAAAAATAAGGTATACAAATAGGGACCAGTTATAAGTGGAGGATGGTGGTTATTTTCCTATTGTAAATATCCCCTACAATGTGGATTTTTTGAGAACGTTCTATGATGACTGTCGTAACTCGAAGTCTTCTCATTCCTTCTGAGCTCCCAAAGCTGTAGGTCTACTTCCTCACTTGGAGTTAGCTTTGCCATTCAGCCCAATCATGATTGTTTGTTAGTACAGAACTTCAACAAGTGGAACAACTTCGGCTAATTCACGAGTCGTATTAAAGGCAGTAAGGCCATTGAATGGTTGTAAAGATACACATTTACATTGCCGTAAATAAATCCGTGGAATCCAATCAAAAATGTGATCGAAGCAAATTTGCACAAAGAAATTGCTATAAAAGTCCAATAAACGCTGATTTTACAGAAACCACCAAACATCCTAAATCAGCATTTCCTGGTAATAATTCTGGGTTATCTTTTCCTGGTCGAGCCTCATATAGAAAGGACACTTCCAGTGCTTCCAATCGGGGCACTTCGTTTGGGAATTGGTTATTATCAGGTGACTGCTGTCGAGCAAACGTTGGATTTTAACAGCCACCTGTAGCTTACTGAGTGTACTGCACCCAGTTTTCTCTGACCTCCGTGCTTGGGGGGCTTCGTGTGCATAAAAGAGGAAACCACTTTGTGGACGGTTGTCATTTTTCGAGTGTAAGGTCTATCACTTACATAGAAACAAGTGCTAGGAATTAATCTGCACGAAGACTTTCTGCTATTTTCTGTATTTCATTTTTCCAGATGAAAACATCCTGTCCAAATATGCTGGCTACTAGTTTCATAAAAAGATGAAATGAGCACATTAAGATTTTGTTAGTTAGCAGGGATGTTTACAATTACCTTTATTTCATGTCGTTTATTTCTCTCACAGATTCTCCAAAGATCGAACCGATAAGCAATCTAGAAATGAAGCCTGGAGAACAACTGACAATCACTTGTGTGGCCATGGGCAAACCTCTGCCCGAAGTGGCATGGATCAAGAATGGGAAGTCCTTAAATTTAGTTGACAAAAGTGTCAGGGTGGAAGAAATAAAGTAAGCTTAGTGCAGTATATTATATTTTTCTGTAGTAATGTTCGTACTTTGAAGGGCTTTTGATACTGAATGCTTCAAATTCGAGTAATGTTGGTCTCTTTAGGCATTTCTGTAATTTGCCAACTGTTTGAGCCGGTGGTTCCTTACGCTGACAGTCTTAGAGACAAGGAGGCAGAATCGTTCACAAAACCAGGGGATTCTGCCACATGGAATAGAAACTCATCAATTATGTTTAAAGCCATCACAACGGTACCCAACTAGTAGCTTCTTTTCGGATGGTTCTTTGGCCTGCATAGCCAACGTATGGATTGTCGATTTGAGCATCGCGAAGTCCACACGTGTTTCACCAATGAATGGGTTCCTTACTCCAGACGTGTAGGTTCATGTGCACCCAGTAGATTCACGATGGCCTGCTTTTTTCCAATATCAAATTATCAAATTTTCCTCATATTGTTTCCCATCGCTGAAGGTAGAAACTACTGTTGTGTTCTGATCAGAGTGAAGTTTAATTTTATCTTCATGTGAGCTGACCAGATTTATCGAAACAAAACGGAAAGAGGGGCATTTCATTGAAGACAGTGTGGATAAGTATTATATATTCGACACAATGCATCAGTAATCTGCAGACCGATGAATCCTCGCATTGGGGGAAATAAATTTACTACTCGGAAACGAAGAACTACTATCATGATATGAAGCAAATCATTCATACATGAGAGAGATAAGTGTTTAGAAATTCATTCATATTGCCCAGACGGGATACGAGTGTATAACGTTCAATATACTTTCAATGACATCTCAGTTCAATTAGTCACTCTTTGCGCTGCGTCTGTTTTAAACCACTCAGCGTTGTAAAAAAGATAGTTGCCATCTTGTCGCAATACAAAGACTTTATTTACCAAGCGAGGATCAAATATCCATTAAAATAAGCGTGCGCCTGAAGGTATGAACTATTGTTCTCTCGAACACATGATATGGACGCTTTACCATGCTAAAATGACACCCTGTGAGATCTTGGAGTACCTATGATAGGACGGAATTTCTGAGGCTACTTATATACCTACATTCTTTTGAGATGAATGTAATTCCGACAAATTTTAATTTTGGTTCAAGAGAACTATTGCCTGCTGACACCAAGGCGGAAAATAACGGTATTCTGGTTAGCATATAAAATACCTTATTTCTGACTCAAAAGCGCATGCGTTAGAAAAGGGCTCCTTGGAAGTCATGTGCTGCTGTTGGAGCTTAGTCCGTTTTTTTGTCAATGCACCGGCGTGTGTTTGGGACCGGTTGGGATATTTCTTCGAGATTTAAGTAATGCCACCGTTCGGTCTGATATCCAGTGCTTGAGTGCGCCTGGATGGGTCGTGCCACAGGCAAAATTCCAAGCACTATACAAAGAGGTGGCGATCTCGTCCCAGTGGGAGTTTACATCTGATGGTGGAGCACTTGGAAGAGACTCTAGAAGACGATTCTTGTAAGTTCGTCTGACATCCGGATCTGCCAGTCTTTCAGTTGCCATGCGATTTGTCCGCACCTTACGCGACCCCGGGAAACGTAGGGAGAAGCGACTCCGGACGAGCGCGTGGTCAGAGTCCACAAATATGTTCCAAAACGACCGACAGTCAGTTATGGATCCGCGCCATCGGTAACTGATGGCAATGTGGTCGATTTGAGTTTGTGGCCGGCCTGTTGTAGGAGGACACCAAGTGCCCAGACGACTTCGGCTATTTCGGAAGTTCGTGCTGCATAAAAACAGCCTGTGATCAGCACACAGCTGAAGCGATCGTCCCCCATTGTCCGTACGTACCGAGTCCAGTCCACGTCGACCTCCCAATTAAGTCTCGGATACGCTAAGCTCGCCCACTTGTGCATTCATATCTCCGGCAACCACCACGATGTCCGAGTTTTTAGCTAGCCGCAGTAGGGCATTCAGGGCGTCGTAAATCCTGTCTTTGACGGCGTCGGAGCTACAGTCGGTTGGAGCGTAGGCAGACACGATGAACAGACATCACCTTCTCGCTTGTGAGACTCCTTCACAGACGTTGCCAGACGAACCGCACAGAGGCGACTATCAACAGGTATCCAGTCAAGTAAGGATACTTTACCAATCCCTGCAGATCCCGCTGCAGCAGCCTCTGGATCACCAGAGGTGCGTAACCTGAAGCGAGCGGAGACTGATGGGGCGGTTGATTCAATCCCTGAGTTTGCATCTTGAATTCTTGTTTTCGAGATACAGCACACATCAGTGCCAAGCAGGTCCAGTGTGAGAGCAAGAGCAGCTTGTTGTCCTGCTTGCTTCAGAGTGCGCACATTGAAGGCGGCCAGATAGACTGGGTGTCGAGGCCTGAGGACTGATTTGGAGATTCCTGAGGATGTCGGCACCATGTGACGAGCAGATGCTGCACGCAAAACCGATGCATGACCAACGGAGTCATCAGTCCTAAATGCTGGGCCTACAAGGAGAGAGTTATTAATGGGGTGGGGGAGAGGGTTAAGAAAATGTATGTGAAGTAGAAAGAAGGGAGGCATCAGCAGTAGCCTGTTTTCGCTTACCCGCCCTGCTGTATGCAGCAAGTAAGGCGACCCGGCTGATGGCACCAGGTGACGACCGATTTGGCATGATTTTATTTGTGTATGTGCAGTTCATGGTTGGACGTGGGCTGGGATACTGCCAGGGCGCCCACACCTCGACAGGAGGACGATTAGAGTCCTCAACCAAGGCCTTTGGCTCAAAAGCAAACCTGATAACAATTATGCTGACGCATTAATGTCTCCAGAGCAAACGTTCCGGTTTCAGAGGTCTTTTAGAAGTGCAACGCAATGTTTCGAAAGAGCTCGCTGTGTTAGTTCTACCTATACCCCTATCCCTTTGTTCTAGTGATCAACTATTATTTACATCAAAATGTATGAGTGACCTAAAATGTGGTTGGGAAGGATGGGCTGCTAAAATCTGTCATACAGTAAACGAATGAAGGCCCATATGCTTAGTTTTAACTTGTCTTTGTCAACAGGGTGATTAAATGTGTGCACATTTGGCACAGCCTAGAGCAGACTGCACTTGATGGATCCAGAAGGAACCATTTTTTGTGCAAAATTACCTGTTTGTTCCATGCTGGGATAAATTGGAGAGGTTTCATGTTCAAATCCGTTTGTGTTCAACTCACAGTCTTTGTTTTACATCGCCGGTCAGAGGAATCTCTTGTCTGATATATGAAATCAAACAAAGAGCAGGTTGTTGGTTACAAAACACGATATCCACGCATAAATAATACCGAAAGGCAGAAAGCGGAAGGCAATATGCGCTACATTAGAGTGATTCAAGCTGCCGCGGAAAATGGCGAACTGCCGAGCGATGTCGTTTTTTAAATTCTGATTGGTCAGTTGGTGTTCCGTTCACTCAGTTGTCATCGAAGTTACCACGGTCGTCCTATTTGGGTATGGAAATTCTGAGCTGTGAAACAAGCCAATAATACCCTTCTCTTTGGCAAACGGTAGACATGAACAATCTCCTTCGTGCGTTCCAGAATTTCAGACGAACAAACTGAGTCAATATTGGAGATTTCCAGCCTCATCCGGATTGATTCTGGCGAATACAAGTGTTTAGCACACAATTCCTTGGGAGAAGCAAGCGTTTCTTTCAGTTTGCAAGGTAAGTCAAACTATTCAAGCCGCATGCATTTTTATCCACTTGTTTTGATTGATAACATGGTTATAAGAAAAAACTGGACGTCACCATCGTAGTTTAACATTCTTAGGGTTTTGGTGCCTACCTGTGCATCAAGGAAATAAATCCAAGCACAAAGATAACCAAACATAGATCATATCAAGCTATCTTAACGAATTTCGTATAGTGTATGTTCACAAACAAACTTTTCCAAGTAAACCGGACTAATAGGATTCCTGTTCTAGATACCATTTGAATTACAGTGATGGTTTTTTAAAAGTAAGCACCTGAAATAACTTCCATTGGAAAAAGTTTCATATTAGGTTTGATTGTCCAAGCAGAGTTTGTCGTGTTTCAAAGGGCAGAAAGTTGGAAATGCCGTTCACCTGCAGAGTCCTCAACCAAGGCCTTTGGCTCAAAAGCAAACTGATTAACAATTATGCTGACGCATTAATGTCTCCAGAGCAAACGTTCCGGTTTCAGAGGTCTTTTAGAAGTGCAACGCAATGTTTCGAGAGAGCTCGCTGTGTTAGTTCTACCTATACCCCTATCCCTTTGTTCTAGTGATCAACTATTATTTACATCAAAATGTATGAGTGACCTAAAATGTGGTTGGGAAGGATGGGCTGCTAAAATCTGTCATACAGTAAACGAATGAAGGCCCATATGCTTAGTTTTAACTTGTCTTTGTCAACAGGGTGATTAAATGTGTGCACATTTGGCACAGCCTAGAGCAGACTGCACTTGATGGATCCAGAAGGAACCATTTTTTGTGCAAAATTACCTGTTTGTTCCATGCTGGGATAAATTGGAGAGGTTTCATGTTCAAATCCGTTTGTGTTCAACTCACAGTCTTTGTTTTACATCGCCGGTCAGAGGAATCTCTTGTCTGATATATGAAATCAAACAAAGAGCAGGTTGTTGGTTACAAAACACGATATCCACGCATAAATAATACCGAAAGGCAGAAAGCGGAAGGCAATATGCGCTACATTAGAGTGATTCAAGCTGCCGCGGAAAATGGCGAACTGCCGAGCGATGTCGTTTTTTAAATTCTGATTGGTCAGTTGGTGTTCCGTTCACTCAGTTGTCATCGAAGTTACCACGGTCGTCCTATTTGGGTATGGAAATTCTGAGCTGTGAAACAAGCCAATAATACCCTTCTCTTTGGCAAACGGTAGACATGAACAATCTCCTTCGTGCGTTCCAGAATTTCAGACGAACAAACTGAGTCAATATTGGAGATTTCCAGCCTCATCCGGATTGATTCTGGCGAATACAAGTGTTTAGCACACAATTCCTTGGGAGAAGCAAGCGTTTCTTTCAGTTTGCAAGGTAAGTCAAACTATTCAAGCCGCATGCATTTTTATCCACTTGTTTTGATTGATAACATGGTTATAAGAAAAAACTGGACGTCACCATCGTAGTTTAACATTCTTAGGGTTTTGGTGCCTACCTGTGCATCAAGGAAATAAATCCAAGCACAAAGATAACCAAACATAGATCATATCAAGCTATCTTAACGAATTTCGTATAGTGTATGTTCACAAACAAACTTTTCCAAGTAAACCGGACTAATAGGATTCCTGTTCTAGATACCATTTGAATTACAGTGATGGTTTTTTAAAAGTAAGCACCTGAAATAACTTCCATTGGAAAAAGTTTCATATTAGGTTTGATTGTCCAAGCAGAGTTTGTCGTGTTTCAAAGGGCAGAAAGTTGGAAATGCCGTTCACCTGCATGAGGTGGAGTCAGGTTCTTCTCTTGAAGGATATTATTTTATCAGCTCTTTTTTAGCAACGAAGCTTTAATTTAAAACAACGAGAGTGTTCCCCTGCATGGTGGATGTTAAATCAATATTTTGAGAAAGAGGATGTCGAAGTTCC